GCATTATGCTAATATTTCCACATAGTGATGTAGATATGTGGGGGCGTGTTAGAACGAGCCGTTTTAGGGGGGCGTGGCAGAGTCTTAACTTTGATAAAGAATATCTCTTTGGTTTTGAGACTTTAGTCTTTGCAACTTCAGGGATCTTATCTATGCACAATCAGCTTGTAACACTCCAAAGAGAAAGGAAAACTTGAAATCGCATCATATGACCCCTTTAAATGAAGTAACCTACTCTTTGTGATTGGTTTTCGGTCCTTTGTATTAAACTATACATACATGCATGGTGCTGTTTATATTTTTCTAATTGTTTAAGCAACTTTATTAATTATATATGGTTTATAAACATTATGCACTTTTTTTTTTCCAAAGATAGTCGTGTTATTTTATTACGCTTTGAAGAAACGTGCATAATATTTTGCTCGATGCGCCCTCTTGTTGCCTCTGGAGAGAAGCCAAAAGCTTTTTTTCCCCCTAACTGAAATTATAGCTTTTAAATTCAAATATAATTAGAATTTTGATAATATTTAAGTGGAAAATTCGAATTTAGTTTTTCAGTCATTTTGACAGCCCTAAAACATATTATATTGTTAAATTGGGAAATATTCAATTGTAGATTTATGCCTTTTTAATTTCATTTATACCCAGAGCAACGAGGTAGGTGGTAGCTACCACATGAAGAAGGAGGGCTTGAAGCGTTGTCTAGATCATCTGGAGGCTAACGGTTTGGCAGTGGAATACATCATAACGGATCGCCATCCACCGATCCAGAAGTTTCTTAGAGAGCGCAACATCGTACAGTTCTACGATGTGTGGAACTTCGAAAAAGGTGACTATTAAGCTTTGTGTATTTTGTGACACAGTCAGTGTTGGGCAAGTTACTCTGAAAATGTAATCAAATTACTGATTACTCCTTTTAAAAGTAATCACGTTACTGTTCTGATTACTTTATTTCAAAAGTAATTAGTAATTAGTTACATTACTAGTTATGTTACTTTTTTCTCCATGAAATTTATGAAATCCCAGCATACACGCTCCCGATAAGTATTTGTTATTAAAGCATCAACATTCACAGAACACTGCTGCGTACATGGTTTGGCATGGCAGAATGCCAGCAAAGAGCGCTGCATTTATAATCTCTAAAAGACATCTCAGTTCATCGCAATCTCACAAATCTCTGTTATAACACAATAAATATATGCATAATGAATCTTTCATAATGTCTACAGTTCATGTGTTATAATGAGAGGATTCGTGAGCACGCACATTTCAGCACTGCATTACTCTGCATACGCTTGCACCTGTTAATCGTTTATATTTTACATTAGTTCATGTTGCTTTTGTGCAATAGATGAATAACAATATATTTGTTTTAGATATTTCATGTTTAGATATTTTTTGCGGGAGTCCTGTGAATCATTTTATTCTCCCGCATCCCGCACACACATGAGTGTCTACCCGCCCGCACCCGCTCATCTTGATCACTGGCACTGGACTCGACAGTGTGTGTGCAACATCCTTTTTACAATCTCTAGATTATAAAACACTGCATTCTGTTAGCAATGTAACGCGGCAGTAACGTATAGAGACCTCGGCTTATAACTATTCTCTAATTACTATTTTGAAAATTATAACGCGTTAAATTACTCCGTTACTAAAAAAGTTATCAAATTACAGTAACGCTGTGTAATGACAATTTTTTTTTGGTTATGACTGGTTTGTGACGTTAATGTACTACTCATACACCACATTAATACTTTGTTTACAGGTTTGTCTAAAAAGTTGGACAAACTTTCACAAAAAAAGGGGTGCGAAATACTGAAGAAGTGGTTGCGCAGCATCAAGAATCATGTATACTGGAGTGCTATGTCGTCTACTTCTGGTCCCGAGAAGGTGGCCAGATGGACTTCCCTGCTCAACCACATCCAAAATACACACATTCATCAGAACCCTGAATTCCCGAAATGTGCACATCCAGACAAAGTGTCCAGAGATCCCAAAAAATGGTTCCAACCAGGTATGCAACAGATTTTTCGAGTATATTATAATGTGACAAAGTACAGACAAAGCTTACTACTAGTAATTTATCATTTAAAAATATTATGTTTCTTTTTGTCATTCAAGGGTCAATGCCTCTCTACAAAGTGGAAAAGATCCTGAACAATAAGCGAGTCCTAAAAGACGTGGAAAAGCTCAGTCACCATTACCAGACATCTTCGCTAGAGGCCTTTCACAGTGTGATCCAGCGTTTTGCCCCCAAAAATGTTGTTTGTTCTTTCATTGGAATGTCGTGCAGGTATTATATATTATGACATGCAATATAGTATATTTTAAATATGTATATGCAAGATTTGCTGGAAGTGTGTAATGTTTTAACTTGTATGTCACTCTTTTACCGCAGGTTGTACCTTGCAGCAATGCACTACACTGAAAATGGAGACCGTGAGCAGGCAACGACAACTTCAGGACAACCTATGTACAAGGTTGTTTTTCCAAAGTCAAAGAAGGGTGAATGCACTGCAAAGCCACTTAAAACAGCCCCTTCATATGGTATGTTATCAAATGTTTTCTTTTCATACACTTACAAATACACTTTACACTTTAGTGATGCATTTGATATGTTACTAAGACGTTGGTTGTCGATCGACAGTAATATACATAATAAAATTTCCTTTTGTACCCTATATTTACAGACTATGTAGCTGACTTGATGAAGCTGGTCTTTGAAGAGGTGTTTGCAGACCCCGCACCATTTGTGGAGGAGCTAAAACAAATCCCCATTCCTACAATCCTGTCCTCCCAGATTGAGAGACCTTTAAAGGAGGAAGTTGTTGGCCGCCACATCTCACGCTTCAATCAAGGGGCGGTCGAAAGCCTACAAGCGGTCCATCCGGATCAGGGAACTCCTGCCGAATCTGAAGCATAACACAGGACGGGAGAACCACTCTGACTATCCGTCCTAAATAGCACCAGCTTACAAAGCTTCGATAGGCGAGATATCGGTACTGACGGTAAAGACAGAAAATGTGTACATACTTGCTATTATATGCCTTATTCTTTTTTTTTACAACAAATACATATTTTGAAGAAAAACCTTCAAGGTTTTTTTTTTGTTGCTTTTGTGTCTTGAAAACAATATTTTACTTGTTTTGATTTACAAATGATAGAAATTAGTCTTAATTAATAAATTACTCTTCTTCTGTTCTTCGCCTCAGGGATCCAAAATCAGCTCTGTAAATGTTATTAATGTTCTGGAGGGTGTAAGGAATTAAACAGTTAGGTTCGAAGCCTGGGTGGTGTGTCATGCATTGTAGAGGGCCTGAAACCTGGTTCATTTGCCTCACAACCTGTGGAAGACAAGACACTAACTATTTATAATGCAGTCAAAAGAGTAAAAGCAAGTAAGTGTGCATATATATATATACCTTTTGTATTTCCAAGCAGCATACATTTTCAACTTCATTAGGCATTTTATTACAGTTGTTACATTTGCACCTAAACAAAATTTATAATTTCATCATAACTTATCATTCCACGACAAAGTCACTACAGTGAAGACAGTTCTTATAACGTCGTATAGATGTACAAAATTTAAAAAAATTACCTATAGTTATAGCTCATTGTTAAACGTGATAGTTATTTGTAAAATAAAACCTTACCAATCTGTTACGTTCTGCTCAAGTCGCGCTGGCAAAGTTGATTGATCAGCTTGGTCATCTGCATTTTCTGGATCAGATTCGGGCTCAAATTGATAAGGTAGTAACGACGACATTATCACCTGTCAATATTGCTTTGGAAGCTGATATTCCACATATGGTAAGGGGCGTAACATTTCCGTCACACGCTTGAGGTATTCGGCCAATCACAACGCACTGGATAGCTGGCCAATCACAGCACACCTCGCTTTTCAGAACGATGAGCTTTGTAGAAATCTACGTGTTTCAGAAAGGCGGGGCATAGAGGAGAAACAATAATGTACAGTATGTGGAAAATAATGTGTTTTTTTTTACTTAAACCGCGTAAACACATTGCTTTACACCAAATACACCAAATAATGTTCTTTTTAGCAACGTCATATGACCCCTTTAACGTTTGTCGTCTTAGAAAATTCATTCCAAATAAGTGAAGATATTTTAAGATTAAGTGAAAATCAATCTTGTTTAATGTTTTTGATTCTTGTGCACCCCTCAGTTATTAATATATAAAAATATATTTGTAGTATACAAATTTATTCATATATTTTATGTGTGTTGACTTTTGTTATGCACTTATTTACATACTATAAAGCCTGTTGTCCTTGAACAGTAGCTACAGTATTCCACTGTAGTTTGCTGTGCTGCATGGGAGTGCTCCAGTCACTCACAGAAAGGAGTGTGAATGTATGGTTTCCCTACTGATCTGGAGAGGAGAAAAAAAAATGATGCATCAAGTTTTGTTCAATTCACATTGACTTGTATAGCACTTTTTTATTATACACATTGTTTCAAAGCAGCTTTACAGAAAATGAATGTTTCTACATTACAAATAAGAGTTCTGTTCTGTCAAAGTAATGTTCATATGGCAGAAATGTTCCAAAATTAGGCTATACAAATCGTCATGTATTCAGAAACAATGAAACGTGTATACAGAAACAATGGACAAATTAAAGCAATGGTTACAGGATGTGATCATGATTACAATGCAAGGAAAATGTAGCAGTTTTGTATGTTTATTCAGAGTCGGCTTCATCTGAAGTCTTCATAAGAGGCTGGATATAGTCAGCAGGAGCAAGCTATAGATTACACCAACAAATTGGGAAGGAATCATACCTGGGAACTGGCACTTTTTCACAAAGAACAGGGAAAGACTGGCCAAACCCAGTGAAGAGACTCATTGTGAGGGTGATGTCTCTTTACAGGGAGACTTCAGGTGGTTCTTGTTCTGAAAGCAAGATAGAACAGGAGAAATGGTTAAGTGGTGCTCCATCACATTTCAGTCCTCTTTCAACACAGTGCTTCTACAGTAGAGATTTTCCCATCTACAGATTTTTCCCTGGCCTTCTTTTCTCTGTAAATCGCTTCACCAAAAGTTATTGAGGCCATGCACATATTGCGCGATAAGTCGATATATTGATTATTGCGACAGGCCTACTGACATCCCAGTGTTATTTTATGATATTCACATAAGCATACAACATAAGTGAATATTAAAAAGGGCAAGCAAATACGGAATTTAACCCAACAAAAAAAAGTTTAAAATAATGTTTAAAAAACACAAGCAACTGCATTCAGCGTACCACCTACAGGGAGAGAAAGATTTCAGAAAGATTAAAAACTTAAAAATATGACAACTAGCATCTGGTTATGGTCGCTATTAAGGGGTTTCTCACGTTATTTAACTGCAATTATAGTATAACTGTCTATTATCTAACGATAAACATTAACTATAACGTGCTTCATAAAATACCACTACTGGCCAGACTTCCGAGAGGTCAACTAATGCGTTAAAATGTTAAAAAATGATGTAATTTCTTCAACTTTCTGGCGAGTGTGCTTGAGAAGCATTGAAATGAATGGGCTTTAATGCTGGAACTATTGGTTGTTTGGAACTATTGGCTGCTCCTTCAATTCACATTGACTTGTATAGCACTTTTTTATTATACACATTGTTTCAAAGCAGCTTTACAGAAAATGAATGTTTCTACATTACAAATAAGAGTTCTGTTCTGTCAAAGTAATGTTCATATGGCAGAAATGTTCCAAAATTAGGCTATACAAATCGTCATGTATTCAGAAACAATGAAACGTGTATACAGAAACAATGGACAAATTAAAGCAATGGTTACAGGATGTGATCATGATTACAATGCAAGGAAAATGTAGCAGTTTTGTATGTTTATTCAGAGTCGGCTTCATCTGAAGTCTTCATAAGAGGCTGGATATAGTCAGCAGGAGCAAGCTATAGATTACACCAACAAATTGGGAAGGAATCATACCTGGGAACTGGCACTTTTTCACAAAGAACAGGGAAAGACTGGCCAAACCCAGTGAAGAGACTCATTGTGAGGGTGATGTCTCTTTACAGGGAGACTTCAGGTGGTTCTTGTTCTGAAAGCAAGATAGAACAGGAGAAATGGTTAAGTGGTGCTCCATCACATTTCAGTCCTCTTTCAACACAGTGCTTCTACAGTAGAGATTTTCCCATCTACAGATTTTTCCCTGGCCTTATTTTCTCTATAAATTAAGTGACGTGACCCATACTTGGAATTAGTGCTCTGCATTAATCCCATCCAAAGTTCACACACACAGCAGTGAACACACACCTGGAGCAGTGGGCAGCCATTTATGCTGCGGCGCCGGGGAGCATTTGGGGGTTCAGTGCCTTGCTCAAGGGCACCTCAGTCGTGGTATTGAAGGTGGGAGAGAGCGCTGTACATTCACTCCCCCCACCTACGAGTCCGACCATTATGCCACGACTTCCAAGGGTGCACTGTATTGCTGAAAAACACAATCCCTACTTAGCAGTCAGATGTCCGTATGTGCAAAGGCACAGGTCCCTAAACAAGGCCATATCTTCAGATGAAACTTTGTTTGTAGAAGCATTTTTTAAATGTGAACTAGCACCTCATGACTACACCACGTTATGTACGAGAAGCTGCAAAAGACAGGCGCAAGTGAAATGCAAAAAACATGGTGGCGTTAATTTATATGTAAATATAATGGGCGATATATTGCGTCACCAAAATGTATTGAGGTCATGTACATATATTGTGCGATAAGTCGATATATTGATTATTGCAACAGGCCTACTCTGGGTGACTCCATTATTAATAATAGGATGGTGCAGTACTTAACTAACTACAACTAAACTATGTACAACTTACATCCCTAGACGAGTAGTTCCTCAAGACACTAAAACTGCTGCCTCAAGCAAAGGCACCAGACGCAACAGAGGCCTGCCAGCCCCGCAAGACGCTAAAGCTGGAGAGATGGAGGGGTCACCTGTCTCAGTCCTCCAGACACAAGACTGACCCTCTTCACCACGACCTACAGGACCTGAAACACAATTAGAAATTATACAAATTACACAAACATACTTCATAAAGTATAAAAATACATCCTGTGCAGTGTATATGGATTGACTATATAACCGTTGCTTGCAGCGGGGATTTTGATCACATCAAATCAACAAAAAGACAAATACAAACAAATCATTTTAGCTCGTCTTAGACTTACCTTGAACCAGGCATGGGAGAGCATCTCCTCCAGATGAACCCTCTGCTCCGGGTCGCTCTTTAGGCAACCGGGAATAAAACGGCAGCATTCTGTGCAGAAAAATGAGAGAAATTTCTGATTATTTCCTTCACTTTCACACCTGCTTTCTAAACAGTGAGAGATTCCTGCGTTATCCATAAGGCCATTATTTATAAAGCCTCTGTTTTGCATGATTAAGATTAAGAATTGCTATTGTTCTTCTCTGTTGTAATGAAGATCTTACCATCTGAGAGGCCGGGCTCGATCCAGACATCAGCATCGCATCAGTTTTATATCGCTGCTGTACGGATAACGGTTGGTCATCATGATAACCAGCAGCACACACAGCGACTACACCGTCGCCTTCTTCCCGCAGTACTCACCCTTCTCAAAGTACCCCGGAGGACAGAAATGTGCTGTCCCTGGAGGAAAGAGTTTGTCACATGCAGGGCAGGACTTGGCCCCTGGGCATGAGGTTATGTTTGGGCCCTATACCTACACTACAAATGCCCTCAAGGAGGGGTCACCTGTCTCAGTCCTCCAGACACAAGACTGACCCTCTTCACCACGACCTACAGGACCTGAAACACAATTAGAAATTATACAAATTACACAAACATACTTCATAAAGTATAAAAATACATCCTGTGCAGTGTATATGGATTGACTATATAACCGTTGCTTGCAGCGGGGATTTTGATCACATCAAATCAACAAAAAGACAAATACAAACAAATCATTTTAGCTCGTCTTAGACTTACCTTGAACCAGGCATGGGAGAGCATCTCCTCCAGATGAACCCTCTGCTCCGGGTCGCTCTTTAGGCAACCGGGAATAAAACGGCAGCATTCTGTGCAGAAAAATGAGAGAAATTTCTGATTATTTCCTTCACTTTCACACCTGCTTTCTAAACAGTGAGAGCTTCCTGCGTTATCCATAAGGCCATTATTTATAAAGCCTCTGTTTTGCATGATTAAGATTAAGAATTGCTATTGTTCTTCTCTGTTGTAATGAAGATCTTACCATCTGAGAGGCCGGGCTCGATCCAGACATCAGCATCGCATCAGTTTTATATCGCTGCTGTACGGATAACGGTTGGTCATCATGATAACCAGCAGCACACACAGCGACTACACCGTCGCCTTCTTCCCGCAGTACTCACCCTTCTCAAAGTACCCCGGAGGACAGAAATGTGCTGTCCCTGGAGGAAAGAGTTTGTCACATGCAGGGCAGGACTTGGCCCCTGGGCATGAGGTTATGTTTGGGCCCTATACCTACACTACAAATGCCCTCAAATAGAACATCATTATGGAGTAACACAAAATACACAAACATATGCTTTGAGGTTCATAAATAGTACAACTAATATGCAACATGTCTAGGCTATAGTCAAAGTTTAAATGTAATATTAAATATTCATTATAATATAATAAACAGGATGCGTTCTCTCAGTTGAGAGATCAAACCCCTGAAATAACTTTGAGCAAAACAAAAGTTGAAAAAAGAGATGTTGGCTTAGTATTATAAAAGTTATTGTCATATGTGTGTCCTGTCCTCTTATGTCAGGTTCTTATTTAATCAATAAATTCAATTGAATAAAAAGACATGCTGGCTATTAACATTCAAATGAAATCACTATCAACAAAATCCAACATGCTGGCTATTAACAATCAAATGAAATCACTATCAACAAAATCCATAGATGGATTAATTTTAAATATAACATTTTAATGTAGACATATTAAATGACTGCAAAAATGAAATAAGCTACTTTTTTAAATATGAAACTACAACCGCCAGTAGGTGGCAGCAAGTGACTGTCTTAATGAGTGAGTTGAATCAACCGATTCGTTTAAAAAGCTGATTCATTTAACTTTGCAAACAACTGAACGAATATCACACTATTTACTCGCCGCGAAGTGAGCAGGTGAGTCTCGCGCTTTATATATTCCCGCAGCACTTTCTGAATTCCTCTGTGATATATCAGCGCTCAAACAGAACGTCTCAGGTTACTTATGTAACCATGGTTCCCTGAGTAGAGAACGAGACACTGCGTCCTCTAGGTTTCCCCATGGCGACCCCTAGAGGACGCAGTTCGAAGTTCCCATGAAAGGGAACTGAGATTCTGTGGTAAAATGTTATTAAAATGTTATGTTATTTGGAAATGCAGCAGAGGATCTTATGGGGAAACCTAGAGGACGCAGTTCGAAGTTCCCATGAAAGGGAACTGAGATTCTGTGGTAAAATGTTATTAAAATGTTATGTTATTTGGAAATGCAGCAGAGGATCTTTTGTAACTTAATTTAAAATTTTTACCAAAAACAATGCCCATATAGCATATTAGCACTTTATTGTATTTTGCACTGTATGTATTTTGCATTTTATACTTATACATTGTTGTTGTGTTTTAAAAAAAATAATTTTTTTATCTGTTTTATTTATTGTTTTTGTTTGTTCAGAACAACACTGTAGCACTTTGCCCAAGACAAATTTCCTTTCGGGGACAAATAAAGTTGATCCTTATCCTTATTTTTTTAAATGCAAACACATAAAACTTACATTATAACAAAAAATCATGAGACAATAATATTATGAGATTCTGGACATTATAAAACAAGTCTTCGTGTATATATTTTGTACAAGGAAGCCACACCTCTAGCCATGCCTTCTTCCTTAAACAAATCTGTCTTCACTTGCTTAGTCACACTGTTTCCTACATTCACCTTTACCTGCACTTTTCTCCACTCGCTTCTCAGGTCTGTACCAAAACAGGAATATGATAGGAAATGTTTGCTAATGCTTATTAATGTTTAGCACACTAAACATTTCACTATAACACAGACTCAACAGGATCACAGTAGAAAGTTAAACAATAGAAAGTTCAGAAGAACAGCTTTTATCTGAAATAGAAATCTTTTGTAACATTATAAATGTCTTTATCATCACTTTTGATCAATTGAAAGCATCCTTGCTAAATAAAAGTGTTAATTTATAAAATTAATACCCCCTGCTGTTTCTTGAGCAGCAAATCAGCATATTAGAATGATTTCCGAAGGATCATCTGACACTGAAGACTGGAGTAATGATGCTGAAAATTCAGCTTTGCATCAAAAGAATAAATTACATTTTAAATATATATTCAAATAGAAAGCAGTTATTTTAAATAGTAAAAATATTTTTTTTGGATCAAATAAATGCAGGCTTGGTGAACAGAAGAGACTTCTTTAAAAAACATAAAAAATCTTACTGTTCAAAACATTTGACTGGTAGCATAGATACAAATACTGGATGGTTTAATGTTATCTTTTGCTCATACTTTCTGCTTTTAGAAAGCATTAAATACTACCTGGATACTTGATAATAACCAATACAATCCTAAAGAAACAGAAATGAATGAAAAATTGATATAAAAAAAACGAAGAAAGAGGAAGGAAATCTGGCATCTGTGTCTGGGTCAAATAAACATGGCTCCATTTTATTATTTTTCTTTCTTTTTGTACTTCACATTTTATGTACAAGTCACAAAGCTGTGCACGTAAATACAAAAATACATAAAACATACAAGAGTGAGATAAATAAATACAAAGTCACCTTCCGCTCCATTCATGATAACTGTGTTACTAACTTTAAAGGCTAACGTAACATAGCAAAATTACTTAGTAAAGAGCAATTACGGTATTCACACAGTCCTAAGTAAAAACACAGCTTTGATGGCGGCTCATTTTCAATTTTTTTTGTATGCAAATCTCGTTAGGATTTTTTTTCCTCAGTTTGAAGCATTACATAACAGTCAAATGTAAATCTGTTTTGTTGCAAACCAAATTATAATACAAATGCAATGTATTACCCATAAGCCCCAGTCTAATGTGCATCGTTTCCTTAATGCATTAATGACACCGGGCGGATTAAGCAAAATTAGGCTGTATATGGTTCCTATTACTGCTCACATGTATTGTTTATGTGTATGGAAATATAGGGAAGAATTATGAAGTCCATATGCCAGCGGGGCCTTTCACTGAACAATCTGGGGCATTTCACTCCATGCTTTGGCTTTCTTCTTGGCGAGAGCCAGCCAGGGAGGCTCATCTTGGGCCAAAGGTGCAGTGGATGGGTTAGCACTTCTCTTGCTTTCCTTCTCTACCGTGGATGTGTCGGACAGTTCAAGGGAGCAGAACACTGTTCATTCAAAACAATGGATAACAGCTTATATATTCATCTTCATTCATAGTTTATTCTTTTAGTTTATTATGTATCGTATCAGACATAATACATTTATGCAGTTACGTAGGTCTGCCATTATGTTTATGCAATTGACCTATCGGTAAGCCCCACCCCCCCCTTAGTTACTGTTGCTCACTCGGACAAACAAATGGAGTTGCTGACAGCTGTCAGTGAAAACCTTCTTCCGAGGTGTTTCTGATCAATTTGGGACACAGATGGACCTTCAAGTGGGACTTAAATATGCCATGGAGGGATATATAAAAGATATTAAAGGGGTCATATGATGCTTTTTTAAAGATCATTATTTTGTGTATTTGGTGTAACATAATATGTTAACATGCTTTAATGTCAAAGCAAGGAAGGCCAAATAAAGTGCTTTTGCTTTCGGCTAGAAACACACAGCGTCTCCCTGACATGCTGCTTCAAAACTAACTGCGTTACTGAAACCACGCCTTCTTTCTTTGCATGCACATTTGGGCGGCATATCACAATGCAAACGGGAGAATTATGTTACGGTCGTCACGATTGCAATGACAACATCGTTCATATACCGCAGAGTAAGATTAAATTAATTTACATTTAACCAGATTAATATGTAGAGGCACTCTAACATAGACTTTCACTGCACGGTACATGATGTGAGAACAGTTCGCTATTTAGGTTTGTACGTTAGCATGGACTCACTAACTTTAACGCTAACGTTAGCTAGTTTTAG